GCGAGAGAGCCGAGGAGAGCGAGCGAGCGAGAGAGAGAAAAGAGAGAGAGGAGCTTATGAGAGAAGAGAGAAGAGAGAGCGAGAGAGAGAGAGAGAGAGAGAGAGAGAGAGAGAGAGAGAGAGAGAGAGAGAGAGAAGAGAGAGGGGGGGGGGGAGGGAGGATTTACAATAGTATAACATATACAACGTATATATATATATATATATATATATATATATATATATATATATAGTATATATATATACATATATACATATATATATATTATATAATAATATAATATTATACTATATACTATATATACTATATGATATATATATATTATATATATTATATATAGATGATATAGTATATAACACAATTCAAAAGCGAAGAGAGTGCATATACGTAGCAGAGTAGAGTTTCGGAGAGAGGTGGAGGTCATATGGATATAATAGGAGATATATATAGATATATAGCTATATATTATATGGGCACACGATGGACAGATATAGTATAGAGGAGAGAGGGGAGTATAGAGAGAGATATATATAGAGATATATAACAAGATATATAGTATATATATAGCATATAGGACATATATATATAACACAGTACATATATATGTATATATATAGATATATAGACAGTACAGATAGCACATAGTAGAATTAAGACAAACATAGAATAGAAAGAAGAGAGAGATGAGAGCAGAGAGAGAGAGAGAGAGAGAGAGAGAGAGAGAGACAGACAGACAGACAGACATAGACAGAGAGACAGACACAGACAGAAAGAGAGAGAGAGAGAGAGAGAGAGAGAGAGAGAGAGAGAGACAGACAGACAGACAGACAGAGACAGACAGACAGACAGACAGACAGAGAGACAGGACAGAACAGGCAGACAGAGACAGAGACAGACAGACAGGCAGCAGACAGAGAGATAGAGAGAGATAGATAGACAGACAGACAAGACGGACAGACAGAGGAGAAACATACACCCAGATCACACACAGAATACCCCCTTGGCTTTCGAGCGACCAACCGCATCATGCCTACTTGTCCGACCCACTGATCCGACGTCGCTTGCTGTGTGGTATTTAAACCCGGTGCAAGGCCTCGGAGGGATCAGTGTCGACCTGGACTTCGACGTCGCTACAACACCTTCCGCAAACACCCCGCTTGTATTCTTCGCCGATATCATGAAGCTTATGGTATGGAAGGGAACGAATTCGGAGCAGATTGTTGAGGTGATGGAGCACGGTCTAGAGAAGGATTTCTTTTCTAAAATCTTTCAGATGCGGTAGTGACGACATCTTTGCAAACTCTGCACTTTTACTCCCGCCGGAATCACGGGTTGGGAGTTGGGAGTAAACTTTAGGTCCTGGAGTGAAATTTGGAGCAGGGGGGCAGGATCTCTCTCTCTCTTTTCTCTCTCTCTCTCTCTCTCTCTCTCTCTATCTATCTATCTATCTCTCCCCCTGTCTCTCCCCCTCTTTCTCTCTCTATCTATCTATCTCTCTCCTCTCCCTCTTTCTCTCTCTCTCTCTCTCTCTCTCTCTCTCTCTCTCTCTCTCTCTCTCTCTCTCTCTCTCTCTCTCTCTCTCTCTCTCTCTCTCTCTCTCTCTCTCTCTCTCTCTCTCTCAGATATTAAGTTGGCCAATCTGTTGCATTCTGCCCACAGACTTTGTTCCTGCTCCTGGCCACCGTCGTCGCCGTCGCCCTGGCTCATAGGGGCGGACGGCACAGGCCCAGGGGTGGGAGTTTCGACCTTCCGTTCGGCAGCATCACCAACCTCACCGACACCGTCAGCGGCTGCACTTCCAGACTCGAGACCAGCTTCGCGACCTTCATGGAGTTCCTCCTCGAAGTCGTGGCCAACGTGACGGCAGCGGCAGCCTAGTGGGACGCGAGAGGGAGAGGGAGAGGACGGCGAGGTCGACCCTCTCCGGACTGCCTTGGCGCCATGAGTAAGACCCTCTCGGATTGCTGTGACGTCTCTCCTGTGACGTCATGAGTCTCTGGATTACTGTGACGTCATGAGTCTCTGGATTACCGTGACGTCATGAGTCTCTCCGGGTGACGTCATGAGTCTCTGGATTGATCGTGAGTACGATGGAATATACGACCCCTCCGGATTACATGACGTCATGAATACGACCCCTCCGGCTAACCATGACGTCACGAGTACGACCCTCTCTCCTTACCATGACGTCATGAGTACGACCCTCTCCCGAAGGCCCTGACGTATCTCCAGTTTACTCGACCCAAGAAATCCTACGACGCACGCATTTGTCAGCTCTTTCAATCAATAAATGCATCACAATCAATTTATTCGATTTCCTTTATCCCTATAATCTAATGTTGAATCGTTTGGTGAGGAAATATATTAACGAGGGAAGGGAGACATGAAGAAGAGGATAGGAAGATGGAGAGAGGGGAGAGAGGAGAGAGGAGGAGGGAGGAGAGAGGGGGAGAGAGGAGAGAAGAGAAAGAAGAGAGGAGGAGGGAGGAGAGAGAGGAAGGAGGAGAGAGGAGAGAAGAGGGGGAGAGAGAGGGAGAGAAGAGAAAGAAGAGAGGAGGAGGGAGGAAAGATGGAGAGAGAGGAGGAGGAGAGAGGGGAAGAGACATGTATAAAGAAATACAAAGTTATCACTAGACATCGAATGAGGCATTTCAGCGTGTATAGATACAGCTGTATCTTTTTTTTTTTTTTTTTTTTTTTTTTTTTTTTTTTTTGATTATTATTATTATTATTATTTATTATTATTATTATTATTATTATTATTATTATTATTATTATTATTATTATTATTATCATTATTATTATTATCCTCTCATACCCACAGTGACTTTCAAACTCCCATATTCATATTTTTTTTGTGATTGCAAAGATAATTAATTAAGTCTCTAAAGTAAGGAAATAGAACCTCAGGGCAAACAATTTTTGAAAAGTTACTAATGCCAAGTGAGGGAAAATTATCTTTAAAAGGAAAAAAAATAATTGGGGTAGTAATAAAAGAGGTGAAGGGGGGAGGAGAGGGGAAAGATAGATAAATAGGGAAACAGATACATTGGTAGATTAAGAGATGGATAAATGGATAGACAGATAGATAGATGGATAGGTAGATAGATGAATAGATAGATAGACGGAGAGATAGATGGATAGATCGATAAAAATGGAAAGAAAAGGAAAAGAGAAAAAAGAGATAGAGATAGAGAGAAACCGACAGGCAGACAATGATAATAATAATAATCATACTAATAATGATGATGATGATAATGATGATAGTAATATGAAGAATGATAACAGTGATAAAAACAGTAATAATAATAATAATGATAAGAATAATAGTAACAATAATGTTGATAATGATAATGATAATTATAATATATAGAAAAATAATGATGATGATCTTTATGATAACAATAATGATAATTTTAATGATCAATGATAGCAATGATAAAGATGATAGTAGTAATGATAGTGATGATAATGATGATAATCATAATGATGATGATGATGATGATAATACTAATTATAATTATAATGACAATATGAACAACAACAATATGACATTTATTATAGTTATTATTACTATCATTATCAGTATGATCATTTTTATTATTCTCATCATTATCATAAAATGATGATGAAATTAATTACAATGATAATAATGATAATAATAATGATGATGATGATGGTAATAATAATAATGATAATAATAATGATAATAATGATAATGATAATAATAATGAAAATAATAATAATGATCATAATAATAATAATGATAATAAAATAATGATAATAATGATAATAATGGTAGTAATGATGATGATGATAATAATAGCAATAATGATAATAATAGTTATGATAATGATGATGATAATGATAATGATAATGATAATGATAATGATAACAATAATAAGAAAAGATATGATGAAGATAATGATAATGTTAACAATAATGATAATAAAAAGGATAATAATAATGATAATAATAGTAGTAATGATAAAAATAATAATAATAATAATAATAATAATAATAATAATAATAATAATAATAATAATAATAATAAATAATAATAATAATAATGATAGTAATAATAATAATAATAATGATAATTAAAAGCATTAATAACAATAGTAATAATAATACTGATGATGATAATAATAATGATAGTAATAATAGTAGTAATAATGATAATGATGATAATATTATAATGATAATAATAATAATGATAATAATGATAATAATAATAATAATAATAATAATAATAGTAATAATAACAGTTATTACTATAATAATAATATACTGATAATAATAATAACAATAATATTGATAATAATGATAGTTATGATGATGACAATAATAACAATGATAACAATAGTAGTAATAATGTTAATGGTAATAATGATAATGATAGTAATAATAATAACAATAATAATGAAAATATGAATATGAATAATAATATGAACAAACATATAAATTATATTGATAATACAATTAACAGTAATAGTAATAACAATAACAATAACAACATTAGTAATGATAATAATCATCTTCATTATGCATGAGGATAATTATTTGTATATGAGCTTCACTCTTTCTATAGGATCGCAGGAAGTATATACTTTCACACGATATATCCGTCTGCTTAAATTCACGAAGAAACGGTCATACATTTGTAAGAAAAAAAGGTGTGAATGATTTTCTATAGAAATTCGTCGCGGTTGACCTTGTGTTTCTAGTCTGCACTGGAATATCGCCTCCGCCATGGTCATCCTAAACTACGCTTATATACTGTATATAGACTTTAACCCCGGCATTCTTCTAACTGAAATTGATCCTAATTTCCCAAGCATTCCGTAAAAGAAAGCAACAAGGAGCAGACAAATGGATGATAATAAGGGGAGCTGATGATATCAATCCATACAACAATTGCGCAAAGCGTGAGTCTTTTGTTGGCAACGGTGCATGACGGGACATTCTTCGGTTTGTTTTGGTTACAGACGACAGACGCTCCAGCTGTCAGAGGGGAGCGTGTGTGTCAGTTCCTCGGCTACTCGAGGGGAGGAGTGTCCTTGTTTCATTGCTGTAAGGGACGAAGGAGGTAATAAAGGCTGTTTTGATGTGAGTTTGTGAGTGTTTAAGGTGTCTGTTGTGGTGGTTATGCGGTTAAAAGTCGTAATGTGGATTGTATTGCGTCGCGTAGTGGTTGCGAGGCAGATTGGAATGTAGTGATCGTTTTGTCAATAATGCAAGGTGCTCTGTACAGTACGTATCTCGAAGTACACGTGTTGTACACCCCTTACCGCAGTTATTTTCCAAACATTGACCTCAGTTTTGCGGCTGGAATCAAGAATCACCGATCCTATAAACACACACCATTCAGTTACATATGAAAACGGCATATATACATGATTATTTCCTGGTGTCAAGTTCATCCCTTTCTGACCTTGAACCTAATGATTCTTACCAATGCTGTGCTTGCTTCGTTATTTTACACATTTACCGTGAAAAAAGGTAATAGGACACGTATCGGAACATTAATTTTCATTGTGATCTACTGTAGTGGACATTTTTAATCTTAAATGGCATGGATTATAACCAGTAAAAAGAAAATATTGATCATGTTACTTACACATGCTTCCTCATTTTCATGTAGACTGTATCAGACACAATCTAATATCATTTGATTTTGATTATTGTAGAAAATTGTAATATCATGTGTTCTGTAATGATGAACATCAGCTGATCTGCTTCTGGGAACTGCAGTTCTCTGGAATCTAATCCATAATTAAATTGCTTACAACAGGTGAATTCTAGGAAGTAAGCATTTGTGCTGTCTTACCATGATTCTTGAAAGAGATAAGGTTAGATACTGATTTATATAGTTTTTTCAATCAGGTAAATAGAAAATGGTGATATATGCTGTGAAAAGCACTTGCTTGTAGTGCAATTTGGTACTTTTTAAAGAAAACTTAGTTAGAATCACTATAGGATAAAATTAATTATACTTGTTTTTATATGTTGATGAATAGTTCAAGCAATGAATCCTTGTGAAGTTAAGATTAGAATCCTTTAGATATCTTTTAAAATTGACTCTTAAAAACACTCAGCACTAGTGCAAAAAGTGAGGCACAATTTAGTTTATTTCAGTGAGATTTGCAAAGGCTAGCTTTCTAAGGCCTGACTACATGGCTGAATTTGTTCCAGTTTTTAAATCTGACTTGTCTGGACATTATGCCAGAATGTTTATAATTGGGATTTTATTGTGTCTTGGCATTCTAGCAGCCATGATGTATGGCACAGGCACAACCTCCTAACTACAGCAACAGTGGTCGATGGTTTTTGTCTGAGGAAGCATATTTCCTTGTGCTGTAGGAGGTAGTGGAGCAGGGTGATTTATAGCTGAACATTTCTGGAAATTTTGTGTCATTAGGAAACCAGAGTCTTGATGTGTACTCATAAATGTCTGGTAAGTTTTTCAGATCTCTTATTATTTATGATATATGGAAGCACTGTACTACCCTACGTGGGAAAAGGATTGGAGATTATAAAAAGAATCTCCCCAAAATTGTACTTAATTCTATTCAGAATTTTATTACATGTATTCAATTTGCCCATTTTGTTTCTTAGTTTTGTTTAGATATCTGTTAATCTCTAAGATTAATCTAAATGTATTTGCTTTCCATTTTACATTGTAGATTATATTATATATTTGATTTGGGGTTGTATAGGTCTGTGTGTGAAAACAGATTAATCTAAATGTATTTGGTTTCCATTCTGCATTGTATATGTTTATATGATTCTAATTACTTGAATAAGAAAAAAATATGAATTAATTGATAATTGTAACTGAGTAGATGATTACAGATATTTAAAGTTGAATGGAATATTGGGATGAAATAGATAGCCATTATAGTTGAGATAAGTGCTCATGATGATGGTATACCTAGTAGATAGAGAGTAAGTAGATAATTAAAAAATCATATGAATTAAAGATGATTGAATTGATTGAAATTACATAATTATATAGTTGTCAAGATGTGAATTATTCCTTTATTCCTTGCGAAAAAGGTCCTTTTTGTTTTTGGAGACTCCAGTTGTGTTCTTATTATTTGATAGAGATTTGTGAAATATGTGAGTCTGATGCACAATTAGTTGATCTTATGTGTGTGAACAAGTTGGCCAGCTCATGAAATTCATGTAAACGTGAGCATATTCGTAACTTCATGACTTAAAGTAGAATTAGGTTATTCATAATTTCACTATTTTTACATTTCCAGAAGTATTTGAGGGCTAAATTACATGAATGTTTTTATTTACCAGAGAGCCAGTAAGTAGGAAGAGACAGTCAAAAAGACAGAAATGAAGGAAAGGGAAAGGGTACCAAAACCCGGAGGCTCTGACAGGACAAGGCCAAAACCCTCTACAAGACCTGCACCTGGGACCAAGGAACCTACTTCAAGGACAAGGCCAGCTCCCGGTGCACCCA